ACGAGACTTTGAGTGGAGTTCTTTCCCCAAAGTTTTTTTTTTTTATATATGAATTTTTTTTTGTTATTTGTTCTTTCTTCTTGTTTTGCCCGAAGTACTGTCTATCGGCACCTGAGTTTTGTCTTAACACTTTTCAAGGACGTCTCCCAAGCACCCGACAAAAGGCGGAGACAATGAGCACAAATGTACAGTGAAGTCAAGCCAAGTACTACAGCAAAGTAGCAACTTTTAACGTCGAAGAGTCATTGTACCAGTCACTTTTTGTCCAATTTGTTACCTAAAATGAGGAGAGTAAGCTTTAGTGGTGGATGGACCGATTTCTATTATATTTTATTGGTTTAAAACAAACTATTAAAAACCGCTTAAACGCGATATTCACACAATAAAATACACAAGTGCTCAATTCAAGTAAAAGTTATTACAGCAACTGACTCGTCACTTGATAGATGAACTATTGTGACAAGTCCTTTGGCTTCATGTCCTTAAACTAGTAGCCAAACCCTGATCTGAACTGGAGCTATAGATCTGCAATATTAGAGATAGTTAAATGAAATCACACAATTTTTGCAGCCAGATTTATTTACAGTTCCAACTTTAAACTTTCAATTTAAAATTCAACCCGAAATGCACTTTTGACAACAGGACCCCTCCCTTGCCGTTAGAGTGTGACAGCCAACCAATCGGTGACGTTGCATCCGCACTGCATCTGTGGCAGCGAATCAGATTCCACTAGGTAGCAGGAGTGTGGAGAGGTGGCAGGAGACAGACACACCCCTAAAACGCAAGCGACAAGCTCCCATATATACACACACACACACACACACACACGCATGTCCCTAGACCACAGTGTGTGTGTGTGTGTCAGTTTGTATTTTGGTGTGAGTGATGCTGGTCATGCGCAGGCAGCAGCTGCAGCCCGTCAGAGGCGAGGCGCCAACCCAACACGCAGCAACCCAGCAAATCGCAGAACACCATTCGATTTGCTCCTAAAACGGACAAAGAAAAAAAACGAAAGCAGCAACAAAAAGAAATACAACAAATAACTGTGCTACGGTCAAAGCTGTGGCGCTGCCAGCAGCATGGTGGGCGAGGGTAAAGCTACAAGCAGTAGCACACAAGCAGAGCACAAGCAGAGCACAAGCAGTGTCGCTGCCGCAGCGGCAGCGCACGGGCAGAGCACAGGCAGCGACCAAGGCAGACAGCATTAACCTTTTGTTGGCCCCACAGCTGTGGGGAAGGTGGGGACATACATACATGTGCGTCTGTGTGCGAGCTCAAAGAGAACTCCGAAAAGCTGAACAAAAAAATATAACGGAACCTGCTTCCCGCACGCCACATTATCCACTCTCTCTCTCTCTCCCTCGCGTTTGTGCTCGTGACGACTTCGTCGATGATTCGTCCTCTGACGTTTTTTTCTTATTTGCTTCTCTTATTGTTGTTGTGCCTCTGTCTTGCTCTTCATTTCTTGTCACCCACTCCTTATTTGTTGTTCTTGTCTTCGTGTGTGGGTGTTTGGTGCGTTCTTATTGGAATTTCAATTTGCCAGAGTTACATAGCTACATATGTGCACATAACGGTTCATGAGTGGGTTCGTGTAGGGGTGGGAGTGTGAGTACTAGCGAGGTGCATAATGTATGTACATATGTATCTATGTACAATGTTTAGAGGTAGAAAAGTCCAACCCTCCACATGTGGGCTGTGGCCAGCAACCAAATTCCAATTGAAGGGAACAGCCCTTACCTTCGATGCAGATTTACTTTGAAGGAAGAAGATCCCAGCTCCATCAATATTATCAATTATCTCTACTCTACAATCGAACTAAAAAATTAGCAGAAAATATTAAGAACCTTCCCCTATGACCATCGCCTTTGCAGTCTCAATCCACTCCTCAACCCTGTTAGCTGCTAGATGACTTTCTAATCACCGCCTGGAACCTTTCTTCTTACCATTTCATAGGAGGCTTCTCCATTGAGCGGCCATCAGCAGCAGCAGCGCTCCTCCAATGTGACCATGGCTTCACCCAGCGGTCAATCGCCCTTCGCTAGCGTCAGCTCCACCAGCGGGACCGGCACAGGTCCCGCAGCCAGCTCCAGCAACAATAACGGAAACGGCAGCAACGATCTGGGCCACTCGATCAGCAGTCTGACGCCTGGCTCCGGCTCCGGCTCCGGCAACAGCAACCCAAACACGAATGTCGGTGGCATGATGTCGCATGCCCCGGTGGACGGTAGCGTAGCACCGCCCAATGCCAACCTAAACAACTACTACGAGAGTTTGCGCAACAATGTGATCACGCTGCTGGAGCACGTGCGCTTGCCGCCGCCACCCGCACCACCCACTTCGGTGTCTGTCTCGGCCTCGATAGCTGGCGGTCAGGTGGTGGCGGGGCATGGCCTGGACAGTGTGTGTGCCGGGGGTCAACTGGTGGCCGGAAGTGGCAGCGATCATGCCACAGCGTACTCCACATTGCTGCCGCCACCGCCACCACCGCCTTCGGCCAGCAGCGGCAACATTGGTGGCGGAATGTACGGTCATCAGGGTGGGACGGGTGCTGGTGGTGGCCCGCCACCGGGTCCACCGCCGGTGCCTCCGCATCATGCCTACACCGTGCATCATCCCGTCAGCTATGCCCACCCACACTCGCATCCGCACGGACATCCGCACGGACATCATCCGCACCCGCATCCGCACGAGCACTTCGACTCATACATCTCCAAGCTGCAGTCGCTCTGCGTGCCGCCCGATGTCTATGCCCTGCCCGACGACGCCGAGCGCACTGTCTACAACTCGGTGAAGCCAAGCATGCACCAGGACTACGGCAAACTGATGCCGACACCCATCTAAACGAGGAGGTAGCCCCGATGTTCCATCCCGTCCAGGGTTCGTGAGTGTACATATATATCTACCTATAGCAAAGAGTGGAGAAGTGGGGACATAAAACAGACTATAAGAATTGTGGCACGAGGCATCTCACAGCCCAAGATGCGGGAATCTGCAGAGATCTACGTATATATCGCATGCTCCTGGAAAGCGGGCAGATCCTTTTCCTAGTGTTAGATTGAGCTGTTGCACATCCTATATCCTAGACGCTTTCGTCGTGTTGATAGAAACTGTATAAAAGATTAAAACCTAAACAAAGCAAAAGCAAAAGCAAAGTACGTGTGTAATAATATTAATATTCATCATAGATACGATTTACGATTAACATTTTTTTTTGTCTGTATCAAATACTAAAAGAAAATAAAAAACTAGAAGTTATAGCAACATAAACATAAATATACTTAGGCGTAGGAAGTTTACAAACCGTACATACTCGTACATTGTATATGTTAACTGTAGGGCATTTGTTTGGTGTTGATGTCTTGGTCAATTTTTTGCATACAAAACGGATAATGTTCTTAAATATTTAATCACCCCCTTCCACCCTCACCCTCACCCGAAACCCAAACCGCAAACCCAAGTTATATTCCCTCAAAGTAAGCTTAGTTTAGGGAAAAAGTCAAACACCAAAAGTGGCGATGAAAAAAAGTAATAAAAACAAAAACATAAACGAAAATCTATATTCAATACTAATGTTTAGAGGATGTAATCGTGTTGCATTATTTTTTTTGTTTTTTTTTTTTGTGATTATTGTAATATTGAAAATGTAACGAAAAATGTGTGTGTGGTGTGTAATATCAAGGGAATGCCCAAAACTGAGTAAATGTATATGGCAGCAGGGAATACATGCATAAATATTCCGCAAAGAGCATACACACACACACACACACACACACAAAATATAAATATATAAATAAATATGCGTGGTTGTCTGTGTAGGATCATAAGTTTTAATTGCCGATATTGGCAAAAGGCATTAACCAAGCCCCTTCCCCGCAATGAGCAAAAACGTACTGGGGAAAATCAACGGAAATAAATAGGTTACAATTCAGTGCAATACATTCAAAAACGAAGAATAACGAGAAACCGAAAGCATATTTAATATAATTGTGTAAACTTAAGTAACAAAAAAAGTAGTTGAACGTAATGTCACCTTTTTTTTGTATCGTCTTACGTCTAATCATAACATTAACTATAATAACTAAACAAAAAAAAGGGAAAGTGAGAGAAGAAAAGGAGGTCCCCGCAGAGAGCGAGAAAGATGCTGGAAGGGGTACCCAAACCAAATGGTAATTTAGACGAATTTTAAACAATTAAATTAAATTAAAGAAAAGAAAACAATACAGAAAACCGGATCAAAAAAACGGAAAGCAAAAGAGTACGGAAAAATAGCAGGCTTAAAAAATGCATTGTACTTAATGAAGTCATAAATTATGATGATAAACATAATTACACTAACATAAATACAAATAAAACAACAAATAAATATATATATATATGAATATATATAATATTGTATTGTATGACAAGAAAATTCTGTAATTTACAAGCGAAAAAATATTTTATGTGATCATTGTCATTTTTTTTTTAATATTACAAGAAATAAATAATTCGAATACCAAATAAAGGATATACACAACATGATGGCTGGATGTTTCCAATGAGCTTCTTCGGGTGGGGTATCAATCGATTGGGAGGTGCCAGACAGAAACCTGAGAGACGCCTTCATATAAGACAGCGTGTACCGCTGAGAGGTTCTGCTAGGAGAAACCAACGAAATGTTATACTTATTTTTGTTTGCTTACATTAAACTCAAATTGTAGTCTATAATTAGCTTACCCCTTTTAAATTGATTAGCATATTTTGGGCATAGGCATGGGGGTAGGGTATAATATGTGTTGATTATTATTCAATTCTAAAAACTTTGTTACATACAAATTTCTCATCGCAGCAATCATTGCAACATAACTCTAAATATTCAGTGCTAGTTTTCCATTCAAGCATAAGGAAAACTCCAAGCTATCAAGGCAATAAAATAACTTTTTTGGGTGAGAAAAGAGCAGGGAAGATAACAAATTATCCGAAGCGTTCAAGCAGGTTCGTGGCAAAAAATATAAACGAAATATTAGTATAGAATTTTTGTTTTTGCTAGAAACAAAAATGAAATCAATGAAGACTTCGTGGGCCGATGAGGTGGCTGAGGACTACGTGGATGGGCTGCCACCTACCCAGGTGACCACGGATGGCAACACTAAATATGTCACCGAGTACAAGTTAAATGAGGAAGGCAAGAAAGTGAAGGTGGTCCGCACCTATAAAATTCAGAAGCAGACCGTGCCCAAGGCCGTGGCTAATCGCCGCAATTGGTTGAAGTTCGGGGACTCGATTGAGGACAAGCCCGGTCCATGTCCACAGACCACCATGGTCGCTGAGGAGGTGCAGATGGTATTCCTTGGCCCTAAGAAGCTCGAGAAGGCACAAGAGCCTCAGATGGAGCCGCCCAAAAGAATCGCTAAGTGCCGCATCTGCAATGGCGAACACTGGTCCGTGAACTGCCCCTACAAGGGAACTTCCATGGACAGCAAGACTTTGATGGAGAGCAAGGCCACAGCGGCGGCCACCGCTGCCGTCAGTGATACCTCCAAGACGCTAAAATATGTGCCGCCTTTCCTGAAGGCGGGTGGCTCTACGAGCAATGGCTCTGTAGTAGGAGGCAAGGCCTGTGACCGCAACCGCTTGGGTGTGCGAATCTCCAACCTGTCCGAATCGATGACCGAGGCCGATCTGGAGGAGCTGGTGAAGAATTTCGGACCCTACAACAAGCTGTACCTGGCACGCGAGCCGAACACTGGGCTCTGCAAGGGTTTTGCCTTTGTTAACTTCAAGTTCCGCCAGGATGCCGCCGCTGCCATCGAAATTCTCAACGGCTATGGCTACGATCACCTGATCCTCTCTGTGGAGTGGTCCAAGCCGCAGCCCTAAAGGCGGAATCGCCATTAACTTTCATTTAATCTCCGTTGCGGAAATAAGCCGCACCGCAAAAAAGAAATCTAAATAAAATCCATGAACAGGCGACTCCAACTTTTGCCCTACTAAACCTTGAGGGCTATGCTGATACGAAAAATCTATGTTTCGCTGCTGACAAAGCTTACCTTATTGATCTTGAATCATGTACCACAAACATTGCAACATTTTGAGTAACTTTAAGTTATTCTTTTGACCTTTTCCCTTTCTCGTACATTAGCATAAATCACAGTGGACGCATTATTGTTTGTTGGGTTTGTCCTGGCAATCGAATGAACACACAAAAAAAAACTTGCAGCCATTTCTTGGCAACATTTTTAATTTCAATTAGCCCTGGCACTGACCAGGAGAGACCTCAGTCCAGTCCACCGCCATGAAGGATGAAGGCAAACCCATGGGGGCATGGCAACAGAGATTGGGCTTTGGTGAGGATTGCAATGTTTTCTGGTTTGCTGCCACTTGATTTATGTGGCTTCATTAGACATTCCGCACATAGAGCGAGTCCCAACTATGTGTGTGAAGGAGAAACTCAGATGGGTTCGAGGTAGTTCCATAGATGGTTTGAGCGCGAAAAAGAGCTATAAATGGGTTCAGTGTGAGGGGAGGATCTAAACGTTGTGAGTCGGAGTGAGGGAAGTAGTGAAAAGTTGACTAAGTGATTGCCAAAAAAACGAAAACGTAAACGAAAAGCGAACACGACCAAATACAATTAGAACCAAAAACGAACTTCAATGAGAGGCTGAATGGCTGTGGATTTCTGGATCTGATGGCTGGAGGCTGCTCTGTAGTTTTGCTATTGACCAGCATGGAATATTTTTGGTTACCACCTAAGCACTCAAAGGGTTTAAGCGTACACAGAAAGAACGCCTCCTCCAAATGAGGGCCAAAGGGTTCGGTGTTCTGGGTTCTGGGTTCAGGGTCTGGGTCTGGGTCTGCGTAGCGCGTTCCAGGGTCCCGGTCAAGCTTTGGTTTCTGTGTTTGCTCGTGTGAGCCGCAAAAATATTTGCATAGTTACCTTTAATGTGGTTCGACAGCGTTCCAGCAGTTGAGTTCGGTGCAGAACGGTTTCAGATTGGTTCGGTTTTGCTTCGAAATGGAGGGAAGTGAAGTGGAGTGGAGTGGAGTGGCGTTGAGTTCAGTCTCGATGCAAAAGTTCTTCAACAACAAACGAACAAAAGTTTTCTTTGCACACACACAGGCACAGACACAGACACAGACGCACACATATGCGTTGGCATGTAATTTAAAATGAAAAATTCTATTCTTTTGACACAAACACACTCACACAGGCACCAGCAAATACACACACCCAAACACACATGCAGCCATCAACAAGCATTGATTTCATTTGCATAAATAAGGAAAAACTCAAATGGGGAACTCCGAGAAACTCTGTGGGTACCAACAGGCGCTGCTGCTGGTCGGAGGTCGGAGGTGTGCGAGCGGGTGTGGGTCTGCGTGTGTGTGTGCATGGGGGGCAGGCACCCTGTCCTCGCTGATAACGTGCAGCAAACGAAACTATTGCCTACTTTTGTGCGCCAGGCACAGACAATCAAAACGCGACACTGTGGTTCGACAGTCGTCAAAACTGCAGATACATGAAACAAAACAAATTAAAAACTCAATTCCGCCCGCTGTATGGACACAAGAAACGGATTTCTTTGCATTTAAAATCTCGAGGAAAAATGTTCAATTTTGAATTTGTAACCTTAATACTTAACAGACTGTTCGGTGCGGATAAAATGTGTTCGGGTAAAACTTATAGCTGTAGCTATCAGCTTTTCAGAATAGCAAAATATTTAACAATCAGGTCCAAGATACTCTAGTTATGTGGAACAAAATAGTTACTAACTCTCAAAGAAAAACTTGAAAATAATTCAATTTATTTTTTGAAGACAGTTTTTGAAATCAGTGGGAAAATCATCATATGGGAAAAACTGTCTAGAATGATTATTTATTTTATGTTTTTCAAGTTCTCCCAATGGAACGTCTCTGACGCAGCAATTGGTTCAAATTTCTGCTGTAAATGCTCATAGATTGCTCGCGACACTCGAGAATTTTGTATCCAATTCGTTATCCATTCAATGAGTTTTAATTACTTTGCATGTCACTGTGCAATCTCTCTCTCCCTCCACCTATTTCGCACGCTGTGGGCAACGACAGTCAAAAATCGCATAAATTAAAAAACTGCACACACTCACGCACAGACATGGATACAGAGAGAGTGAGTGAAAGCCAGAGGGGAGGTGGGGCATAGGGGTGGAGTAAGGGCAACCCTTTGTACAGCTAGCACAGACACACACACACACACACACATACAGCTGTCGCTCACCACCAAGGAAGTAATAAAGTATCTCGAAAGTAACTTATTAACCATGCTGACAACGCTGCTGCCAAGCTCCTGGAAGCATAGCTCCAGGACCCCCAACCCGGACCCGGAACCAGGCTGTGTCTGTACACACACTCATACCGTACACACATGCCTCAAAGCCAGGGTGGTGGGAGGATGAGCTGGGTAGGTAGTCATGTTTCATGTTTGCTAATTGCAAGTCGATTTTTCATTTCACATTTCTCTCCAGAGTGTCGTGCTGGACAAAAAACAAAACGAACCCCAACCCAGACATGGTACATGGTACATGGAGACCTGAAGCTGGACCAGGAACTGATTGACTCTGGGACTGACTACCCGGCCGTAAGTGGAATTTGTTGAGGTTTCCGCTGACCCACTCAACTCTGGCCACATCCCGGAAGGGCACACACACAGAAGCACAACAACAACACACAACAATAAAATATGCACAAAAATAAACGAGAAATGGCAGCTTTGAATGCCCTTTAGCAGATTTTATAGTTTCAATTTTATGTCCAAGATATTGCTGCGGATCGGTCAGACTTATAACACAAAGTACTTACATTTATCTCTCATATGGTGAGGAGATTTATCTACTGGCTTAAGTCGTACTACCCACAGGGAGAGGGTATGTGAAAACAAAGCTGAAATGATGGGCAAAAGAGGCAAGCAAATGGTTAATTTAATTACAAATTCTTTGCTTTCTTTTGGCATTGTATTAAATTTTCATGGGCATCTGACATCCGCACACATGCGTGTGTGTGTGTGCGTGTGTGTGTGCGTGTGTGTAGCACCTGCTGTCATTGCCATCTTTGCTACATTTTGGACGCTTAAATACCCAAGAGACTTAAGAAGCGGCGAGCATCCGCCTCAGCCATTACTCCCACCACCACTCATCGGTCCACCCACACACACACGCACACACACACACACACACACACATGGTCACACTGATTGTCCTTTCAATGAAAAATTGCGCTCATTAATGTTGCTCATTAGCAGAGCCACAACGGGCAGGACTTTTCTTGGCTTTGCCGCTCCTTTGCCGCTCTGCCATTGACATTTCCCCCTGACATTCTCCCCCAAATGTCTCATTCCTTTGAGCATTCAGCAAGTGTCAACTGGCAAATGATTTGCCATTATTTACTAATAAAACTCATCGAGTTTTCTTCTCGCCCGCTAATCGAATGTGGACTCTGTAACCCACCACCCATAACCCACACGGTGTGCCTCCTCCTCCTCCTCCTCCTCCTTCCCTCTAAAACTGCTCAAAACGTCACGAAGTGGAAGATGTCCCAGTCAGGAAAAGGACTCTTAATTCAAAGCGACTCGCATGCTTATGCTCGCCAATGACCTCAATCAACGTGTTCAAATTAGGAGCACGAAATGGCAGGGCCATGTCCCAGCAATATGGAGGTAGAGGGAGGAAGGTATAGGGATAGGGATTAAGGAACTGCCTAGAACTTGGCTTGGCTAACAAATAAAACATAAGCTGAGAGATATTTTGGATCTAGAGGAAGCAGCTGCGCTTATTCCATGCTTTAGTTGCTGTTCTCTGGCAGAGTAGAGTGAAAATTAATGCCAAAAAATACGAAAAATGCATTCCATTTGATTGATTGATATTCCATTTGATGTTTTCAGATGATTAAAACTATTTTTATTTGATATATTCATGCGATTTTGCACCACATTCGACAGATCCAAGTAAGAATTTGCATAAATAAAAGTAATTTTTAACTACAGATCAGAACAGACTCCAATTTTTGCTTCTCCATTTATTCAGCTCTTTCAGTTTCCATCTATTTTTGAGCTGTATGTAAACACATTCCCATGCAACGATTTTTACATATATTCCAATCAATATTCCATTGGCTAATTGATGCACAATAAACCTTATATAAGGTCAAAAAATATTTGTTGAGATGAAATTTCCCCCCGCAACACACGGGTTCAAGGTTGATTCCGTTATGTGTCAATCATTTGTGGTCCCAAATGGTTTATTGAGGACCGGGGGTCGGCACCAGGCTCCAACTATGACTTCCGCCTGGGCTGCCATTCAAACTCTTTTCCTTTTCCTTTTCCTTTTCCTTTTTTTTTTCTTGCTGTTTCTGTTTCTTGGCATTTAATTTCGTTTATTCATTCGAATGACCACAAAATGACATTTGCATTTGGGCAGCGGTCAGCTACAGAGACGCCCAGGGTCCGTGTTCAGTTTCTCGTACTCAAGACTCAGAACTCAACTCCCACTGAGGTCTCATGTGCCGGCCACCAGGGAGTTGGTCTCGACAGCTCTGCTCTGGAGTGGATTGGAGTGGCGTGGAGTGGAGCGTGCGGCTGTTACGTAAATGGTTAGGGGGTCGTCTCTGGGGTCTCTCTGGGGTGCTGTCCTGTAAGCCTGTAACAAATGAATGGCACAGTTGCAAAAATTTGTTTTGACAATTGAAGATGCTCGCAGCAGGCAGAGTGCACAAATTTATAAAACTATCAACTGGTTCCTCCATTTGTGTGTGTGTGTGTTTAATTAATTCTCTGCTGATTCGGCATTCGTAGGCCGAACCAAAAAAGCACAATTAAATGCACAGCACAAACACAGCTTGCCTGGACATGCCACACTGATGCACATTGGTTCCCTCACGTTTTGTTC